TTTGTAGAAATCAATAATTGAGAATATTTTTTATTTATTTATAAGACCAAGAAACATTATTCATATACAAAATACAACAGTAATTATAACATGTCTATACGACGTCATCTGTAATTTAAAAAATATATAAATATATTCAGAAATACAAATATTTCACCATTTTGGCAGTTATTTTATTCGGACATCTGACAGACATATAGTTGAACAATAGTTGAGCAGTGAAATACAAATAGAAATAATCTTTATTCAAATAAGCTCAATACAAGCATTTTTGAATAGTCATATTTTTAGCCTAGCTGTTCCCGCGACTTCGTACGGGTGGAATTTAACTTTATTTTTCTAAAGAACTAAAAATTATTTTGTTCGTCTCAACTTATTCGTGCCATTAGGTACAGATAGATTCAAGCTAATTCATTTACATCCTGCATCATCCCTTATTTTATCTCCATGGGGGTTAAATTTCTCAAAATCCTATTTAAGCGAACGTCTTCATCATAGTTACTTCTTATTACAGCAGCCAATAAAAGTCCCGTCAAAATCGGTTTAGCCATTTCAGAGATTAGCCGGAGCAAACAAATAGACAGACAGACAAAAATTTTAAAAACTGTCATTTTGGTGTATGTACCATATTTATATGCAATGAATGCATGTAGTAAAAAACGGTTATTTTAATATTACAAACAGAAGACACTTCAATTTTATTTATATGTATAGACAACCAATAACAAAAGGCGATTTTATCGCTATAAGCAATATCTTATAGAGAACCTGTAAGTAACAGAAAAGATAGTTAATACACAAGACGCTACAATTATTAAACTGGACATACATATATAGGTATAAATATAAACTAGGTACATAGAAGAAATACAATAAGAAAAACAGAAAGTGGAAAAATAATAACAAAAGCCGTTCTCATTGCTATAAGCAATTTCTTACAGACAACCTGGAAGAGAGGACTAATGTACACAGTAAAGATAGGTGGTACACACAAGACAAAACTTGTTTTAAGACATAATAGTAAACTCACGACAATTCACACAGCGCCATCTAGGTCCAAGTTAACCTAGCTAAAGCTTGTGTTAACTAGACAACTGATACAAATACATAGATATATAAGTTTTGTAAATACATATTATATATAGAAAGCACCCAGAATGATGTTTGTGCCGTAAGAGGAATCGAACCTGCGAGCGGTGTGTTTAACCATCTAGCGGCTTAACACTTCGCTTTACCACCGAGGTCGTTAATCTTATAACAGATATAACATTTAAAATGATAGAACATAAATAATTTTAGTCATAAATACTAAATATGGAAATGGGTACTGTTGTAGTAACAGAAGCCTCTTCCATACCTGCCACTTACAGCCACTTCCGTGCAGCCTGCTAGCGTGGAACAGAACGGTAAACGTTTCCTTATACTCGATATGAGGGTATAATTTTGTAGTTAATGCGGTAAATGGAGACTGAGCGAAGGAATGCATTTATTATCTACGTTGTTTAATCTAATTGTTAGTACACAATAGTTCCAAAATGTTAACTAGATGTCGCTGTGTCAAATATGTACAATTTTTACATCGCGGTAGCAAGATCTTTTTGCATTATGTCTCAAGACATGGTACGTTTTGTAATTAGAAAAAAAAAGAGAGAGAATATTCTTACTACGGAATATACACAGTTCAGTGGGTTTCATTTACCTATAGGGTCTAAGATCTAGTACAGTTCAGGTCATTAATACAGCACTAAATAACGTAATATATATATATATATATCAATGAATATATAATACATACATTATACTAGCTTTGCCAGCAGTTTTACCCGAATGATATATTTAGCCTGTATGTTATTCTGATGTCTAAAACATTCATCCATCCATCCACACTCATGAACTTTCGCGTTTATAATATTAGTAAATTTGTGCACTAATGTTAAAATAAATAAATATGTTAATAATATTATAATAAGTATAACTATCTTATAGTGGTAATGCTAATATGGCAACATACTTGTTTTTTTTATACTACGTAGATGGCAATGCAGGCAGGCATGGCAAACATGGCAGGCATCCGTCCCGTCTGATGAGAAACTGTTACCGTAGCCTATGGATGCCTGAAACGTCAGGGGTGTTACGTGCGCGTTGCCGACACTTAAGAAACCTTAATATACCCTTCTTGAAAAACCCCATACTGTAGTCTCTCGATAAAACCTCGACATGCAGTTCATTCCACAATCTAAGTGTACGCGGGAGGAAGGCCCTCTGAGACCACACTGTCTGAGACCACTTAAGATTCAGCGTGTGAGGATGAATTCCCTGTTAATGGCGAGCAGGCGATGGTAAATAGTAACTGTGGGCATCATGTCAAACAATTCTTCAGAACACAGTCCGTTGTATATTCGGTAGAACACACAAAGCGATGCGAAGTCGCACCTCTAGCTAAGTGGTTCGATACCGCTTGAAAGATTCGGATCATCGACAATTCTCATAGCACGTCTCTGAATCGAGTCTTCTTAGTTATTCGTGTGTGGAATATGAATAACTAAGAAAAACAAGTAAAAAAATAAGCGAGATAGAAATCTTCAAGTAGATGATTTTATACAAAGTATATCTCTATGACGTCAAATGAGTTAAAAAGCTCTTATGTCAATAAAAAAACAACTATAGAAAAAATGTATAGGATATCCGCGAAACATATCCTGTTTTCAACAGATGCCAACAAGAAGCAGATTTAGAACTAATTCCATAGAATATATATAGTCTACTCTGTGCTAAGTCCCTGAACCACTCACGCCGGCATGACAGGTGGTCCTGTTAGGTGTAGACATTTGAATTTACGAATTTTTTTCTCCATTCGTAAATCTAAAAATGCTCTATTCACCATCTTTTCTTATGGGGTTGATATTTCTTTTTATTTTTTGCTGGATAGTAATACGCTGTTGTCGGTTGAGACTCTATTTATTAATAGATTAATAGGTTTATTTATAGATAAGAAAGGACTAACCAAATGTACATTATAATTTTAATCTATAATAATAATGTTTCTGGACAACTCACACAGCGCCATCTAGTTCTAAGCTATGCAGAGCTTGTTACGGATTCTAGACAACTGATATAAATACATAGATACTTTTTTTGTAATTACCTACATAATATACCTATAGAAAACACGCAGATCGATACAAACAATGATACAGATGAATGGCATACAGTAATGGAACCCGCGACTATCGGAAGTAAGGCGGTGCGCTAAACCGTTAGACCACCGAGGCAAATATATAGGATCTATAGTATGTTATATACTATTTTAAATATAACGCGGTCATTATTTATACGTATAATTAGTAAAAATCACAGTAGTAGTAACAAACGAAGATGTGTGAAGGTAGACGCATATGTCTGTCCATAAAAAGACCCGCTGCTGTTCAGTCTACACGTGATCATGGCGGTTGAAACACTGCCGAAATATCGGGAACTCAATAAATATAAAACGTGGTAAGATCCTGTGATTTTTACTAACTATATTATGTTATTGTCATACTAATTGGTGGTGTGATCTTATTGTAAATTTTTTACCCATTCACAACTACATACAAAGGTTCTGAAGTTAAAAAAGAATATACATGAAAGAAATACAGTTGTACCACCTCCTTTTTTTTACAGTCGGTTGAAATTTCTGGTCTTTTTACGAATAATATAAGTTTATTCTACTTATATAGAGTTTAATAATAATAATCCTTGACAATCCACACGGCCATCTAGTCCTAAGCTAAGCATATATTGCGTTCTGGATACTAAACAAGTGATATAAATACTTAAACACATATTTTTGTTAATACATGCATAGAAAACACAAACACACAAATACAAATAATGATACTCATCAATACAAATATATGCACTGTGCCAGGAATCGAACCCAGGTCTATCGGAAACTAAGGCAGCACTGTGGCCCCCAAGGCCGTCGTAACATGAGTGAGAGGTTCAACATGATATTTAATATAATATTACGTTTCTCAAGTAGATATGTCCTAAGTAACCTGCATATAAAACCTCAGTCCCATAGGAAATCTAAGTTCAGCCGCAACCAATTTAATCATAAGAGAAATAGGAGGTGTAGGAATAATCAATCATGCAGCCCAGCACACAAGACCACGGATTGAAATATCGTTGCTAATATTATAAACTGGCGTATAATATATTTCAGCATTGGAACTGTAACGTTTTGATGTAATATTTTTATCAAATATAGGTGTTTGTGTTCAGTTTTACTGAAGTGTTATTTTGTAGTCTGATCACTGTACAGACAACACTACTATGAACAGTGGTGGTGGAACGAAAGTCGACCACTAGGTGACCATTAATATAAATAAACACCTATAATAAATAATTTATAAGAAATTTAGGACATACTAATTGATATATAGTGGACTTTGTTCCAGTGTCAACTATTGATTGTGGTCGGTCATTGGTCGAATTTCGACTATTGGGCGACCACTAATATACATAAATAATACATTGGCACATAAGGACATACATCAAATATCAGGCGAACTATTGATTGTGGTCGCCCAGTGGTCGAATTTCGACCACTAGGCAACCAAAGTCTTTAGTTGACCATTAATATAAATAAATATAATATATAGGAAAATAAGGACATACTAATTGAATTACATTGGACTTTCTTTCATTGTCAACTTTCTGTTGTGGTCGCCCAGTGGTCCAATTTAGTCGAATATTATGTATATTTATGTATATCAGTAGTCAACTATTGACCACAGTCAATAGTTGACTACTGATATACATAAATATACATAATAAATAATATATAGGAAAATAAGGACATACTAATTGAAATACATTGGACTTTGTTTCATTATCAACTATAGGTTGTAGTCACAGAGTGGTCGAATTTCGTCCATGAGGTGACCACAATCAATAGTTGACCACTAATATAAATAAATATATAGTAAACTAAGGACATACTAATTGAAATACAGTGGACTTTGTTCCAGTGTCAACTATGGACGTTGAAGCGGTGGTGGGGCGGACCGCCTCGCTGCCGTGCGACATCGAACCTGACACCAATGAGGACCGCGTCTACATGGTGCTCTGGTTCAGGCATTCGGGCGGGAAGCCCTTGTACAGGTTAGTTTGCTTACACACTTTATTTATATTATTTCGTTTAATGGATGGTCATGCTCATGGTCTAGCGATTTTTATCATTAAAGATTTAGGTCATGGATGGATAATACTATGGTTTAGCACATCGCCTTAGTTCCAATGGTCGCGGGTTCGATTCCTCGCACGATACAAAATTTTTGTATTCATGAGTATGATTGTTTGTATTGATCTGGAGTTTTTGAATGTATATTATATATGTATTTAGAAAAAAATGTATGTGTATAAGTTGTCTAGTACCCATAACACAATCTGCTTAGCTTGGGGCTGGATCACACTGTGTGAATTGTCCTCAGATATTATATATATTTAGTTTTAGGATCTGATTAACTGTATTCTACAAACAAATAAATAATGAAATGAATAAATGAAATAATAATATTTCCGCTACCATTAATATGTGTGAGATCAAAAATATTTAGTGCAGTTTAGAAACCTAACCACCGCTACTGGAAGCGTTACGACTTTCTCTATTGGTGATCAATTTCCGACTATTCTTGAATACACACCCATATAGCTACACGTGCTTTGTCTCTGAACAAAACATGATCAAACATTGAATTGAGTTCGGATATAGCTTGGAAGCCTAGTCTTAACTATTCGACAACTTGCGACTGTATAAATACATTAATTAATGATATGGACTTCCACAAAATAATACCAAATTCTCCCGTAAGGATTATTTGAATAATACATGCGTAGTTGCATATGCAACACACTGTACATGTGTGCAAAGTCGTGGTAGGTCACTAGTATAGAAATAATCTGTATATTCCATTCCCAGTTGCCTACGTACTAACATAATAAATTGAGGACATTCTTTCTCTTTCGTTCAACAAGGGAGGCATATTTGTAGTAAAGGATAGATGTAAAAGCTGGGTCTAATTTTAATATTTAATTTTTAGTGGATTACATTTAATCACCTCGTATGTGGACCTCATGCGCCTCTATAAACATAAATATTGTGGTAAAAATAAGCTGTAATTTTTTTTGTTAAATATTTCAATGGTAGAACAGAATTGTGGACAGAACGGTGATATATATAAAGTACCAACTGTGCTTGCGGTTTCACCGGTATGAAATTGATAGCCTATGTGTTATTCTGATGTATAAGTTATATAACTGTAATATTTCATCAAAATTCGTTCAGTATTTATATTATTAACCGGGTTATAACACGAATAATTTTATGGCAAATAAATTGTTTACATCTCTCGGAGTAACAGCGATGGTACTGGAATATCGTCCAAGAATGGTACAGCGGGCGATTGAAATTAAAAAAAACATCCCAATTTCAACAGAGAGGATCCTTTGCGTGGAATCCAGTCATAAATAATTTCAACCAAACTTCTGTAGCGTCAACAGTCAATAAGTGTACGGTATGTACTGTGTGTTGCGAATTATTGTTATACAATTTAGTGACTGTAGATGAAAAAACTGTTGGCACCTATCTACAAACTATTCTGCAGTTCAATGTGTACAAATAAATGTACTAATCTTTATGAAATGAATTAAAAAAAAAACAATGACATCGCTGTTACTCCAGTCAGCTCGTGACCACGGCTAGTGCAACCAAGTCGAAACATTTGCCATAAAATTATTCGTGTTAAGACCCGGTTAGTAATACAAATAATGTAACATCATCATCTCAGTCAGGAAGACGTCCACTGCTGGACATGGCCAAAGATTTTTTTTGGGAAATATTGTATACTAAACACGGAAGTTTAAAAATAATCCGTTCACTAGTTTTTGCGTGTAAGAGTAACAAGCATCCATCCATACTCATAAATTATAATCATTTATAATATTAGTAAGATAAATTCATACATCAAAATCAGAAAACGTTACAATTGCATTATAGCAATTTCACTGACAATAATGTAAATTCAGCCGCTTTGGAAAACGGGTAGGTTTTCCAAAGCGGCTGAATTTACATTATTCATTTCATGCTCATTCCTATGTTTATTTCAGTCAAAATCAATTTACAATTTTACACTCGTTTGTATTATTTACTGAGCTGTCAATAGTATTGCTACTGATATAGTATATATGATTTATATTAGAGTTTTCAACAAGCATACGGCTCATCTGATGGTAAACGGTTACAGTAACGTGAAGCCTGAAACACAAGGGGCGTTGCTTATCCTTAAGAAACCTAAATATACCCTTGTTGAAAAACCTAGGTATCTACATATTTTACATAATTAAAACTTCAAACAGAGAGCCTAATGGCCTAATGGTTTAAATCCAGAAGGTCGTGAGTACAAATCTGACGCACATAAAAAATGTGCAAATTTATATTTCCGACTGTTTCTCCGGTGACGGAAACACCGATAACTGAACGAATTCGGTAGTCCGCGCCATGCCATTTTGAGTATATATTTATTTTTCTTATGAACGACAATGTAATTTTGCCCTCGCCTGTGCCAACGGTTTGCGCTGGCGGGCACCAGTGGAAGATGATAAGCTGAGCATGAGATCAGGTCAGTTAGCCTATCATGGTAAATTCACTATGAATTTATCACCATGTTTTCCAGGAGGAACCACGTGAAGATCAACCTGACACGGTACATTTCTAACTATAGTTTAGTATTCTACATTACTAAGCATGAGTATATGGGTGTTCAAAATCTACCCTGTACCATTGTAAGCACAGATTATTATATTAGAGTCCGTTAGTTTCTTCCCGCGCGTTTCATTCCCCTCCCTTACCTAGTACTGAACTGACCGTACAGCGGCCTTGACGCGCGCGCGCATTGTGTTGTGAATTAAAATAAATTAGAACTGTGTTAAACCTACTGTGAATCCTACTGTGAAACTGGAAAGCTAGCGAAGATATCTTCGAGACCCTGAAGCCCAAGAAATCCGCAGAACCATACAGGTACGTGACAGACGTTTTTCCCTATATATATACATAGTACTTTCCCTAACATTTTGGTAGCAGAGAGTAAATTCCCTAACAATGGGTATATGTTGAATTTATTTAATTTATATACCCAGTGAAATATCAGGTTTAACCTTCACTGTACATAAACGATAAGGCCTTTGGTTTAGCTTGGGACTATATATTTATTTATTTGTGATAGAGTTTTAAAATGCTGTTAATAGTTTTTAATACTATGGATACAAAAGTTTGGGAGTATGGATGTTTGTTACTTTTTCACGCAGTAACTACTTAGCAGATTTTGATGAAACTTTATAGTAATATAGCTTATACATTAGTATAACACATAGGCTATATACAAATACTTATTGAAATTTAAGAAGGGTGAAACCGCAGGCAGAGCTAGTAGATACATAATTATGACTTGATAATTTTATCAAAACCTTATGTGAATTGTCCAGGGATATTATTATTATTAATCTGTATTTGTATATACATTTAGGACCAAAATTCAATGCGTTACACTAATGTAATGAAATTAAAGTTGTATTAATTTTCTTTGACGCAAAATGGACTACTTCGAATTTAAATCCTTTGAGATAAACAAACAAAATTAGTTTTAACATAATTAAAGTTTATCAAAGGTACAGCTAGACACTCTACCCTGTTATCGGGAGCCCCTCTCCCGGGAAGTGTTTTTTTTAATGTATGATAATGAAATGGGCCACTAGTGCCGTCTTTCACGCGAGAAATTTTGTGCATGTAAATGTAGGCAAAGAGAACGAGAAAGAGCGCGCGGTGTCAGCTCATGCGTTTCCGTGTCCTTCAATCGTGCGTGCTATAGCCCTTTTTGTAATAATTAATTCTCATTGCAAAATGGCGGACATCAGAGTATATAGTAAAGACAAATAATCTATAAATCTTTAATGTGTCTTTGGAAAATAAAATATACAATTTTGAAATAAAATGAAAAGACATGAAGCACGCGCTATCGCGCGCGAAAGAGTGAACACAACATATAGTAAAACGCAATCACTCACTATTGCACGCGTTACCTTTCCCGCGCTGTATCGCGCGCGATCTGAATCGCGAAAGAACGTGTCGTCTAATCGCACGCGTAAAAGCATGTCGTCTAAAAGCAGGTATTAGGTACTAACAACCTCTCTATACAGGATTAGCACAGTAATTAGGGTTAGACCTATTGGTATCAATGTACCTATATTAGGTCGACCTCGATGATATCTCCTTGGAAACTATAATGATAGTCTTGTAGAATCCCGCAAAATGTATCAATCGAACGGTGTCATTCGGATTCAATCTAAGAATGTAAGCCCAGGTTGAGATGCTGATATTCAACTAATAATAAGTACAGAAACAGATAAATGTTATAAATGACCATGACAAACGTGTATGGCAATAGTTGTCTTTGCACGGGATTTTCGTGTAATGTCAGACATAGATTTATTTATTTATTTATTCATTTGCATTCCATAGTGTTACAATAATGGTTGACATAATATTATTATAAGAGCACCATGGACCCTGATGGGCGCAGCAAGCTACAATGAGATACAGTGGCGTTAACAGAATTTAATTATTTTATATATTATTCTTCTAATGGATCTGTATACATTATTATTATAGACTAACTTTATAATTTATCTGTCAAATATTCGTTGACATTATAATAACATTTTTTTATTAGTATTTCTTTTAGTTTATCTATAAATATTTTATCTTTTTTTATATTTTTCAAATCTTCCGGTTTAGATTAGAAAGAAGTAGACAATGTATATAAACTGGTTTAAAAAAAAAAAAGAAACTTTGATATTGATTAAAAAAAAAAAAGAAATGTTGAGTATCTTACCAGTTCTTCTCAATATCTCTATATCTAACTGGACGTCAGGAAAAAATATTAATGCAAAAAAATTACGTTCATAAGCGACTCAAATGTCCTACATGAATAAATATTTTTTTATTTGATTTGATTTGATCCAATAGGAAATTACAATTTCTCCGCGCTCCCCTGTGACCTATAACAGCTATGCAAACGAATACATTCTGACTGTTCCTGGTATCGTGC